TATCCACAAGCCTGCTCACCAGGGCCGAGTGCCCTGTCCCTCTGGTGAGCAGGATTCCAGCAGCATACAGGTCCTCCTCCCCAGAGCTCTCTGTTGTGCTGTGATTCAAAGCAAGTATTGTGGTGGTTACAGCAGAAAAGGCCCTGTTTGAGGTACCCTAAAAATGCATCTGTCATGTTCCCTTATTTACTGTAGAAGCAAGTGTAGATGGAAAGTTGATCTGAGTAGGCAGTACTTCCAGTCTTGGGATGAAAAGGAAGCAAAAAGCACCAACTTCAAGGGTTGGTTTAGGAGTGGAAGTTGGATGCAATTCTGGGAAAGGGCACATTGGACAGCACAGGCAGAATATTTCATTGGCTCTCAAACCCCATACGAGGGATTTGTCTTCTACGCCGTGTGTGTGTTTGAAGACACAGCACAGGATGCCCACCAGGAGGCAGAGCTGCCACACTGATGGGCAGCAACCCTAAGGTAGCATTTCTTCCCTCTTATAGGGTCTGGATGGGATGAACATATGAATCTGTCCTACACCGAGCCTAGTCCAGTACTGTCACTTCCACCTGGCAGTAGCTCTTTAGGGTCCCTCCTCTAGAGATTTCTGCTAGCTGAGATTCTCTATAAAACGGAGATGTCAGGGATTGGACCTGGGACTTTCTGGACAGCTGCTCTTCCCCTCTGCTATATCCACAAGTCAGGCTGACATAGAGAACCACAGTTGCTGCAGCTGGAAGAGATGACCTCCTTTCTACCTCACCAGAGGGAGTCATCAGTTGTGATCTTAACCCACAATCAAACTGTCTCAGTGTTCCACAGAGAGTCGATCTGAGCATCTTAATTGAGGCCAGAAAGCCACTTTTCTTCTTGATTTCTCTCTCACACTTCATTGGCCCTGAAGAGCTAGTCTATATTTATCTAGAGGTGTGAGATTCCAACTTCTGCCTGCTCCCTCTCCCAACTGCTTTCTTCCAATTAAAGCACACCTCTGTGGGAGGCTGGTTTCATCCAGAAGGGCAGTTCTTACATAAGAGGGGTAATGTCCAATGTCCACCTAGTCCTGTACTCTAATGCTTGCCACCGTGATTCTTCTGGGAACTCACAGCAAGGGTATGAGGGTGGTAGGATCTCTCAGTGGTCTGTCCTGAGCATCTCAAGATCAAAGAGCCTGGGGGCATTCCATTTCACCCAGTATGGCAAATAGCTATAGGATAGACCTGTTTTTAAAAGCCCCTTGATCTAGTGGCCGTCAGTCTTCCTGGCAACAGATTCTGGACCTTAGTGGCTGTGTTGATGTCATAATGGCTGAAAGCATCCAGTGAAGGCTTTTAATGCTGCCTTTTCTTCCCCTTCAGTTCAAGAAGAGCCCTCCAAAAATCCCCTACAAGGCTATTGCGCTGGCTACTGTGCTGTTCTTGATTGGCACCCTTCTCATTATCATTGGAGCCCTCCTCCTTGCAGGATACATCAGCAGGGGAGTAAGTTGCTCAAATCTGTTGCGAATGACTCTGTCCCAGATCTCTCAAGAAAGCATGCGTACATATGCACATGTGGGCAGCAGGGCCTGATCCAACGTATATGGAAGCATGTTCACAGGGGATGCAGCAGGGAATTCATTTTGGGTGCAGAAACTGGAGCAGCTTTTGATATAAGCACTTCAGTTTGCCAGTGCATTTCAGTGTTGACCACTGTGGCCTCAGGGAAGCTCTGTTTACTTGATCTCTTCCGTCAAAGAGGCTCTCAAGAGCTCTCCCCTTCAAGTGTCTGGCAGTGTGTTGCATGATACAGATTTGCATTCAGTAAATTTCTTCATGAGGGTACTGAATCTGATAATTTATAGCCATAAATGGGTCACCATATATGGCATTTATAGCACGCCCCTCTCCCATATAATTGACATTGGTAGGTAAGAATTGCATTAAGCATCTGGGGCTTCTGTTATGTAGCAGTCTTGTGCAATGCACTTTCTGCACACCTGTTTTGTAGCTGAGATTATGTGGGAGGCTATGGGAAGCGGGCCAGTGTGTGGGATTCCATCTTTGAAATATGGATTTGATGACCACCTAAATTCCTTAGGGATGGTTTGCACAAGCATATTCATGACTTGTTGACTGCTCATTTTGCACCCAAATTACTTTAATTCATGTAATCAAACACCTGATTGAGATGACTTTGCAGATGCTGGTCATTCTTAAGAAGTTCTGTGCTTTTTAAAGCAGCCCACATTTGGTTGCAGTGTTGAAGAGTCAGAACTTGTAGTTTCTTCAGCTGATGGGTGCAGCAGCCAGTGGTGACTTACATGTGAGAATGGTCCCTCGTAGATATAACCCCACAGAGAGCATTTCCAAATCTGCACTTAACACCTCAATTGCAACATGTTTTCAGTTCAAATACTCAGCTGCCAAGTGTAGCAAGATTGAGAAATGCAAGTGCCAGTGTGAATGAAGCCTTATTCTTTTGTTTTCCAGGGAACAGACCGAGCTATCCCCGTCTTGATTATTGGGATCCTGGTTTTCCTTCCGGGCTTCTATCATTTGCGCATTGCGTATTTTGCTTCCAAAGGCTACCGGGGTTATTCCTATGATGACATCCCAGATTTTGATGACTAAGAAGATTCTGCACTGTGGCAACTTGATTCAAATTGGGTCCAAGGAGCAAAAAAAAGCCTGAGCATCTAAGTTAGCCAATCAGGCCTGTTCTTGCACAAGGCAACTTGGCAAGTATTGTAAACCAATGGCATAGTTTTTTTTGAAGAATTTCTTTCTGATGGAAAGATTAGCTGAGAAATGCAAAGCAAACGTGAGCAGCTGTCTGGGGAAACATTTCCTCTTTTTTGAGGGGAAGTTTTTGATGGTTAGTAAAATGCAACTGGGCTTGTTGCCCCATGGGATGGGTGCACAGGTGTGAGAGAGAAAAAGAAATTCAGGTATTAAATCTATAGTATTTCTTATTAGGTTTTTTTTAAAAAAAGAATATTATCATTTAGAGCAAGACACCTGCAATATTGTAACAAGTGTGTATCTCCTTTCTAAGGATTACATCTCAGTAATATTTTTCAGACAAATTAATTGGATGGGATCTAGCCATTATGGCCACTACAAGTTAACACTTGGTGCATGACTGGGACCAGTGGAGGACAATAGGGTTGTTTGTTGATCCCCTCCTGGGAGCTGGCTCAGGGAAGACTTCAAAGTAAATCAAAAGCAAAAATACATAAAATCAGATTTGTGTTTTGAAGCAGAAAATCAAACCCATTGCCACACAAACATATAATCTCGTCTGTTCCCTGCCTCTCCTATACAGCCTACACAGCCAAGAAAAGAAAAAAGTCATTTCTCAGACCCTGCCATCATGAATAAAGGCACTGGTGTGATATCCATGGCCAGCAAACCCTTTAGTGTCACTATCTGACCGTCTGGTTGATGCAAAATGCACCAGAGGTTCATGTCGAACAGGCTGGGGTCATTGGCAGGCCTTGCTGAGCCTCCTCCTTCACAGAGTAAGATCGCAGGCATGTAGCAAGTGCCACATCAAAGGTTCCTCAGCTCTTTGTCAGTGGACTTCAGTGTGGATAGTCAGGCAGGACCCTGCTTTGCCTCTGTTGTGGCCACTGCCTAAATGCTATGCAATGTTCCTGAACCAGATGCGTGGAAAATCTTCTCTATCTATAGACAAGTTATTCTTTGGCATTGGGTTTTTTAAGCTGTGCGTTTATCTCTGGATCATTTAACTCAATTTTCAGCTTAGAAAGTGGAGGAAAGCTTAAGTATGCAATGAGAAGTTCTAATCTGCAGTTACAGGATATGTATTTAATACAAATAAAGACCACATTTTGTTTGACCTTGTGTTCACTTAATTTCTTAGTCCCAAGAGGTCTCATACATGGCAGTGTCCCGGCTGAGGAACAGCAGGGGAGAAAAGAGAGGTTAGGACCACTGAGTGGGGAAAGGGAGTGAAGAAGACCTTGCCCCTGATACTCAGAGGTTCCACTGGATTCTCTTCTGCTTCGAGAACCTTCAAGAGGTTATGATTATGGCTGGAGGGAATCACAGGCTGGAGCCCCTGCCCCCTTTTCTCCATCTCTTTCCCGCTCCTTTGCCTATGCGTGGTTGTCAGAATTGTTGCAGCCCCAGACTATGGTCTAATCTAATCCTTATTTGTCATGGCACCAAGCCAGCAAATCAGTAACATCATACAAAACTGATAGAAAGAATTCGTTAAAATACAAATATACTAATAAAAACCATGGTCTAAAAGATTTGAGGGGTTAAATAATCTTTACGGACACAGTAACAAGCTGCACAGAATTTAGCTACAAGTTAGGAAATGGTCTGATTATCATCTGATAATAAGTAGTTGACATAGTCAGAGCCCATCAGGCCAGGCCTTTCAAGTGGTGGGCACCTTTGTTAGCAACATTAGTTATATTCATTGACTCTTCTGGTCGCATTCCCTCTGAATGGGGAATGGCTATAGTGGTTCCAGTTTTTAAAAAAGAGAGGAGAGATGATCCAGCAAATTATCAGCCTATTAGTCTATTAAATATATGCAGTAAGCTGTAAGTGAGACACCTTTTGGACAAGCTTTGGCTGGCTCAGGAGAATATGATAGCTACAGACTATGATGTGAAGTGCTGATTTTGACTCAGTGCATCTACACTCTCAGTAACAAAAAAGATGATACTAGAGAATACAATGAGTTCAGTGGCACCCTACCAATACTAACAAGATTTCTACCAGCATACTGTGTCTGTGAGTCAGAGCTTGCTTCATCAGATGTACTGTAATGTAAATCCAACAGGTTGATTTACATACACAATGAAAGGAGGCAGGTGTTACAAGAAAAGGCTGGTTCAGAACAAGATGTGATCCAAACAGCAAGCATCAGCATGGGTGTGAGATACTCCCAACTGTTTTGAGATAACAGACCTCGATTATCAGAGGAAGAAGGATGCAAGCACTCCCACACGGGCTTTTCTGGCTGCCTGCCCCTAAAAACATGAATAATGCAGCCCTATTCAGTAGGCTGTGCCAGTAGATAACTTTTTGGCTTGGCTTGTTTTTATTCATTTTATTGGCTTGGCTTGTTTTATTGACATTGTAATGGCATGTTTGCTTTTTATTGACTTGGTTTACTGTCTTGGGCGGATGATTTTGTGTTATTGTCCACCTGGAGAAGATATGGAGAGGGGGGCATACATTTTCTCAATAAATAAATGTTCACTGATGTTTACAGGCATAACACAGAACAGCCACGCCGATGAGAGGGAGTTTCATTTATTTATTTGAAACATTTATACCCCACTTTATCTCATTAGACTCCAAAATGGCTAACAGTGCAATACCAGATTGGGAGGACGCATAGTATAACAGTCCATTAATAAGGTTAGAAAATGCACAGAAGTAAAACTGGCATAAAATTTGAAATGCACCCACATCTGCCAAAATAGGTGTTTACCCTCCACCCAAAAATTGCTGGAATAAAGAATACCTTCCTAAATGCAGCAACTGAGGTTTCCCTCTGCATTTACTCTGATAGGCCATTCCAAAGGACTAGACTCACCACAGAAAAAGGTTGCGGCCTAGCTTGTTGCAGTACGAACAGACCTAAAAGATGGCTATCTGAAGAACATAACTGGTGCATGGGAGTGTACCTGGAAATGTGATTCATAAGAACATAAGAAGGGTCCTGTTGGATCAAACCAGTGGTCCATCTAGTCCAGCATCCTGCCTCACACAGCAGCCCATGAGTTCCTCTGGAGGTCCAGCAACAGGGCATACAGGCTGAGGCCTCCCCCTGATGTTACCTTCTGACACTGGTATTGAGAGGTTTACAGCCTCTGAATGTGGAGGTTCCCTTTAGTCACAATAGTCAAATGATAATTATGAAGGCCCTAGGCTGAGAAGGGCATATAAAGGTAATAACCAGCACTTGGAACTGGGCTATTAAACACAAATGAATAAAATGTCTCTATTAATATGGGAGAGAGCAACTGAGCATTATGAGAAGGGGAGTTCTTTGAGATTAAGGGCTATGCTAGAAGCCTGTAAGGTCTAGGATTCACCTCCTGGGCCAACAGATCCATGAAGATCGGTAACCACTACTGGTCAGGATGCTCCATCCTCATTTGTTGGTTCTGTCTGAATACCAACTGCATGATTGAGAAGAAACTATACCCTGTGGGTATATGGAGTCTGTCAACTTCCTGAGCCATCGGTGCCTGTGTTACTTAGAACAGTGGTTCCCAGCCTTTGTATTTTGTATGGTGGTGACCCATCCAGTGCTGGCTCAAGGTGTTTTGGTGCCTTAGGCAAACTATCACCTTAGCCCCTATCTATTCCATTTGTATGGTGCCCGACCAGATGTTTTTGAGAAAACAAACATCACACAAAGGGTGCAGCTGCCCCCACTATGAACCCCCAGCAAATGGGGGTTCATCTCCTCTGCTGGCTGGGCCAGAGCTGGAGTTTGAGGAGGGGTGCTAGGGGTGCACTGGGTTGTGAAGATAGCAGACAGCCATGAAGAGGTTGGTAGCAAGGGGCTGGGTGCAGTACATCTCCCCCAGCAGGTGGAGAGCAGGGAGACACTGCAGGGGGCTGGGCAAAAGTTTTGGGCTGCTGAAGGAGCAGCACCAAAACAAGAGCCCACTTACGCACACACCTCTTTCTCAGGGCCAGCCCCAGTTTATTTTGCACCCTAGGCAAGGATCCCTTCGCCCCCCCCCCTGCCATTTTTCAAAAATAAATGCATTTTAGGAAGAATGAAAAACACAAATAATCAAGAAACTCTCAGAGTACGGGGCTGGGTGCAGTTTGGTGCCCCTAAGGGCTGGCCCACTCTAGGCGATCGCCTAGTTTGCCTAGTGAGTGAGCCGGCCCTGCTCTTTCTGTCCTCTTCTAGTTTTTCTATGGCATGCTGAACAGCTCCCACCTGCTCTCCAACCCCTTTCAGCTTCTACGGTGAAGTTACTAATTGCCTGGCTTCTCCCCCCCACCCCATTATTGGCTCAAAGAGGGAGGCAGATATGTGAATGTGAGAAGCTGGCGAGGAGAAAAGAAAGAGGGCGGCAAAGGGCATGAGCTGCCATTAGGGAAGGCTGGCCTGCAACCCAGAGGCTTCAGGGCCCTCCAGTTGAGATACACTGAGTTAGAGGATGCTTGGATGGGTGGAGAATCATCAACCAGCCCTAATGCAGCTGACATTGCAGTCTCCACGCTGCTGGATTGATTAAATAGGTGCAGTATTTCTCCTGCCTCAGTCTATGATTAGGAAGGAGAAGCGTGATGTAAGTTGCTGTATTGTGCTGACCTACTTTTCCCATTCATGCATCTTTCCTTTTTCCCGTATCTGATCTCAGTGCCAGTTCCCAGGCGCTTTTGCTTTATTGGAGTGATGACTACAAGTCATTGAGTAAAAAGCACTTCTGGGAGTGGAGCTGGCAAGGGCAAGTAAGCAGCTGATCCAAACTGCTGAGTCAGGGTCCCATCAGCATTTTAAGCCCGGCTGTACAACTTCCCCTTCATGAGAAGAAGTACTTGGAGGGAAATATTCTTGAACATGAAAAATTGGAAATGGACAATGAAAAAGCTTAATTTAATAATGTTTCTATATTAAATACTGCACAGAAGAAGCCAGTGCAAATTGCAGGCAACTCAACTGCCAGCTTATTTATTCATTTATACCTTGCCTTTCTCCCAAGCAGGGACCCAAAGTGGTTTACATCATTCTCCTCTGTGGGAGGGTGTGTGTGGAGGAAGTAGGTGGGAGGTTGGGAGAGTGATGGGGCAGAAAGAGTGATGGGGTGGGGGCAGAAGGAAGTGACAGGCATGAGGAGGGGGAGGAGAGAGAGAGAGAGAAGGGGGGGCAGGAAGGAGAAACAGTGTGAGAGAAGTAGGGGGGGAAGGGAAGAAGCAGAGGTGGAGGGAATGGGATAGCTGCTCCCACAAGTTACTTGTGGGTCCCCACTTCTTTTATCCTAACAGCAACCCTGTGAGATAAGTTAGACAGTGTATGTGACTGGCCCAAGTTCACCCAGCAAGCTTCCATGGCAGAGTGGGGAGTTAAACCTGAGCCTGCCAGAAACTAGTCCAATACTCTAACCATTATACCACACTGGCTGTCTTCCTATGCCAATATTGGGAGGACCCATGCCATTGCTGGGCTAGGCCAGTTTTACCTGCAGCAAGCAAGCCCGCAACCTGCCATTTGTGTAGACCTGCCTTAGAGTTGCCAGCATCCAGGTGGTAGCTGGAGAACTGCTTTTACAACTGATCTCCAGGTGTCAGAGAACAGTTTACCTGGAGAAAATCGGTGCTTCAGGAGCTGAACTCTGTAGCATTATACCCCATTTAAGTCTCTCCCCTCCCCAAACCCCACCCTCCTTGGGGTTCACCTCCAAAATCTCCAGGTATTTTCCAATATGGAGGTGGCAACCCTAACCTGCCTACTGGGAACGCTTGGTGCTGCCTCCTGACTCCGAAGTGGCCAATGCACCCTCTATGAGAAGCAGACCTCTGAGAGACGACTCAGCCTTGACACTTGCAGCATCACTGTTGGGTAATGCTTAAGGGGGGCGGATTTTATGGGAAGTTATGGCCAGGAACACTGGTTTGGGGGTAGTAAGAATATCTCCTCCTATTTCCAATTGGCCACCAGCCTGCAAGAGAGACTAAATAATGTTTTCTCCTGGTACAAGCAGGAGACCTGTAGATAGGCTTCCAGCCCCTTACAGCATGAGTGCTAGGAAGCAATATAAGAAAGGCACAAAGAACTGGAAGTTGGCCTCCTTGGGTTAAGGCACACACTTCAGAGCAAAAGTACAAACAGGAGAAGGGAAGGGG